TCTCTCTCTCTCTCTCAGTGAATTTCTCGACCACGGGAGCGGAGTATGGACAACGCGCGCTGGTTTAATCACTTATTCGTCTAGTTTACCCACGACACTGCGGCGTGTTTCAGCGTGGACGAACGAGACGGAATGTCCTGCTTGTGGAAAGGCAGAACTGATGTGTTTTTAGTATAATTCAACGAATTATTGATAATGAATCGCGGACGTGGTACGAAAGTCGATGTTTATCATCGATCGTTCGGTTTATCGTGCCGTTAAAAAAGAAAAAAAAATAAAACGCTGACGGCTATTCAATTTGTGACTCTATAACGCTATTAAATTCAAGTCGCTCTTGAAAAATTAACGCCAACGGCGCACGGCAAGAATTCTCGAATGCATAATGAGCTCTAAAATAATCACGAAGACTCTGCGAAGGTTCTTTTTAACGAGAAAAAACATTCCATTTATAAGAACTGATTTTGGATAGAAAATGGCCGAACAATCTCCTCTCGATTTCGTGTTATTCTCCCGTTCATCACCTCTTTCTTTTTATCATTAATTGACACGCGCATTTGTCGACAGAATGAAGGATGTGCTGGAACCGATCAAAGTGCACAAGGTGTACGATCTCGGAATAGATCGCGGTCTATCGGTCTTGTTGGAGCCATTTCTGGATGACTATCTCTACCCGATGCTGCCTGTTACGGGTTGGAAGGCAAGTGGAACCGACACATAGCGCGCCATTTAAAATGGCCGACCGTGGAGGAATTTAAACGGCGACCAGTGTGCAGTATTAGATTGCACACTCGCGAGGATCATTCTATTCTCGTGCTAAAATCGAGTCTGCCATCGAGGAGAATTTATGTTTATTGTACGCGCGAAATTAAAGTCTGGTAAATCCTTCGTTTTAATTAAGCGAATAGATGGCTTCGTTTGGCCCAGATCGCTAGACGCTCTGAGATCATGACATACGATTGTATAAAGTGTTCCTAAAATGTCAGTTATGAAAAGATTGTGATCGTTCGAGATGTGAGAAAAACGGTCACGAAATTAGTAGAAAAGTTTTATCGATTGTAATTCTAAGTTTAATTTGGTGCCTCGTGTGATTTCTCATTGAGTTTGACGTGCCATGCGACTGCACAGGATGAATTCTTTTAATCGCTTCAGTTATTTGTTTAAAGTTACGCGTTCATGGAAAAAAGAAAGTTTGGTTGGATGAACCAATTTCTGTTGAGATATTAACGATTTACACTGAAAAAAAGAAATATTTATAAATTCTTTTGTGGGATATGAAATTTATTCACAGAAACAGATCTTATTTCACAAAAATAAACTTTATTTCATAAAAATAAATTTCCAAGGATTTTTTCTCAAATAAATTTTTAAGTATTTTAAGTAATAAATTTTCAAGTATTCTTAGTAAAAAAATTCCGGTTGAAGTTATTCAATTTAAATTAACAAGATTTCTGGTTATTCTAAACAGAATTCTGATAATTTCAATCGAAATTTTTGAGTCGTTTGTATTTCACCAGAAATTGATTCATCCAACCAAACTTTTCTTTACGTGTTGCACACATTTAAAAAATAATTCCACGGTAACATGTATACATCTACGCGTACGCAGATCTACACTAAGAAAAAAATTATCTTAAAATCAACAAATATTTCCTTGGTGAGTGCCATTAACATATTTACTTAAATCTACATTCTTTTTACTTAAATCAAATATTGTTAATGGCACCCACCAAGGAAATATTTGTTGATTTTAAGATAATTTTTCTCTCAGTGTATACATATTTACGCTTATATACACCGATGATTAATGATAACGTAAAAAAAATTACAGATAGATGGAACGTCAGAATATACAAATATACATCGCGATAACACTCGTTTCCTGACATATAATTCTGATCTAATACATAATGTACGAAAGAAGCTCGCGCTGAAATCTCCCGGTAATATCTTTGAGTCCGTTCGAGTCGCGAAAACGGGTCAATTCAGCTCGTAACGATTCGTTACTGCGAACGCTGAATATGAAAAGAGGCTAATAGAGCAAAATAAAGATTTAAAGATTTTATTCTCGTAATTCTTTATTGCGTCAAAAACTGTTCAATTTGACGTCAAAACATCGCGGAATGTATCCATTTTCCGAACGCACTTAGCACAGATAATTGGAAAGTTGCGTCGCGTTTAGTTATCGTTTATGTCGAGTAGTTGCTGGTTAATTGGTTCGAAATAATTCAAGTAAAACCATATATAAGTAATACTCTAAACATAAACCACGCGATCTTACTTTTCGACGAGTTATCTTCCCAATTATCGTAATTAATGCGAAGATACAGCAGTTTTTCTCGCGATTCAATAAAAGAAACAAAAGAATATTTGGTCGTAGTTATGTGCAAGAATGATCCAACTCACATGGAGTACATTAAAAAAAAATTAAGATGAAGATTTGATGATTCAAGAAATATAAATAGCACTAAGGTTTTTCTTTTTCAAAATCGTTCAAGAAGTCAAGCACGGTCAATTTTCTTTTCTTTAATTGTATTCATTGACAAGCTTAATCTTAAAAAAAAAAGAATGGGTAAAGAAGACGCAATTGGTAAAAATGATGCAACTAGTAAAAAATAAAAACTGTCTTTTAATTAATTTGGCCCATAAGACTCAGATCTTCTTTGTTCTAAGTAGATAGACGTATGGACTACACATTGTTAACAAACAAAAAAAAAAAAATAAAAAACTATAATTTCGTGGGTTGAATCTTTCTTGCACAACTACGACCATTTATTCTGCGTACAACGTGTTCCAACTAAATTATCGTGTCCGTCGAATCTGTTGCCGCGACAACGGTAATCGGTAACTGTACCACGCCTTGAACTTTTTCCGCGCTTACCGCGCCATCACAGGCCACCTGCGCTTCATTCACGTATAGTGCACGGCGATAAAAAGCCCGCGAAGGTCATTAGCGGCGGCGATATAATCGCGCGCTTCCTTTGCTTCGCCATATTTGCGGCGTAGTGAGTGTGCGTCCGTGTGCTACTTTAAGCTGTAACGGCACTTACAGTAGAACTCGCATTCGGTGGAAACGTGTGTGCCGGCGGGTTCTTTCCACTTTCGAGATATTTTTGCTGTATACCCCCTCCGCCGCGGATGCATCGCAAGATTATCCGGCTTTTTACTGGAGCGTCGCGATAAAAGTTCTATTTCTGTATCGTATATTTCTTTACATACGCCAAAGTTAATAAATCATTGTTGGAAGTTCCTCTCGGCGAGAAGACTGTTACGATATTTCGCGGAATTGACTGCTGCTCACTCAACGAGTATGTACATAATTGATCGATCTTTTTTGTCGACGCGACGCCACCGACAAAGCTCAATCTGACTTCCGCGCTTTGATAAAACGTGTCCGTGTCTTCGGTTCATAAAAATGCAGCGGAAGCAACAGTTCGCCGCATTATGGTATTTCGAGTAAAATGTCAGTCGTGCTGTAATTAACCCGCGGAAATGTACCAGCGCATTACACAAATTACGGTGTCCCTTCTTGCAGTGTAACGTAAAAAAAAAAAAAGAAAAACAGAGAAGAAGAACGAGAAACGCGCGTCGCGCTCACGAAACTCGAAGACTCTTGCGAATAAACTCAAGTCGCGAAATAATACATCATCCGCAACGTTTGCATCAGTGTCGAATGTTTCCCGAATTATTACACTCGCATTGTCTGAACTCTGCGATTTATGCACCGTTCACGTTGTAACCCGACAACGTTCTATCCAACCTAGCTTAACCGAATAATAATAATCGAATAGGAAACTCGATATATCGCACATGAAATCGGATATTGTCGAATATTTCATTCCCAGATATCGCAAAAACGGTACCGCGCGGTGCTGTGTGTTCTGTCTGATAATTCGCGAATGATTTCGCGTTACGTCAATCATTCCATTAAAAAGGCGCTATTAAAAATTAACTAAGAATTAAAATTGCAGACAGGTATGTCTCGGGCTTGCCGACGATGATATTGTTTGAGGAAACATCCGACGCGTTGAACGAAAATATCACTATTATTCATTCGTCGAAATTACAAGATATTAATTCGAGCGTGAAATGTAAATGGAGAGTGAATGAATAACGAGAAACAGAAACGGAGAAACAGAGCCGGTGTACAGAAAATTGCTTCGCACACTGATGCACGCCTCGCCGAAAAATCGCGATTAAGAGAGCGGTTATCTAATTTTCACAAGATCCGAGTGATTCATATTTCTGAGCCTTCGTATAAATTTTGAGGATAAACTTTGCAATTGGATTCGACTCTTATATTGTTTTCTTACTACCTGTTTGCTCGGCATTATTCTTGTAGTTACGTCGCAAAGTATGCGTAACTATGCTTCAAAGTCAAATATTTGTGACTTTCTGTTTCGACGCGACCTATTTTCTCGGCTGTATTCATTTAAAAAAACAAAGCACGTAAAAATAAAAGACCTTGCCGTTTTTGAGAGAGCACGTTTTAAAGCTGACAGTTCAATTCCCAGAAAAGCATCGCGCTGCGTCTTGCTTTGCGTTTCTCTGGTACTTTATAGTATAGTTTCAGCATATTTTAACTACCGGCGTGACTTTTAAAGTACGTTGCAGATTAAACAATTTCCCTCTTCTTCTTAATCCTTAATAATAACCTTATATACAAGTAAATAAACAGTCTTTTTGGCATCTAGAATACATCAGCTATCACTCTATTTATTACCGTTAGAATATGTTCTTCCAAACATCCCAATAGGACATCAGTATCCTAACCATTTTGGCGCCAAACATAAAACTTTTAATTTTTTACTAAAACTACATTATATATTAATGTATTTAGTAAAGTAAAAAAATTGTGAAATTTTAAATAAAATTGATAGCGAAAGAGTTAATAGATACGCTAAGCATACGAATCGATACATATATGAATTCAATTAAAAAAAATAGATTTACAAAAGAAGAGCTATTGAGAATTTGAACACAGTTATGTCAAAAGTTACTTTCTAAGAAACTTGAATTATAAACAAATGCTCTCTCCTTGGAACAAATGCCCTTTCCTATTTGGATACTTATTCCAACAACTGCATAAACTGCTCTCACTAGCCTTTCTATTATTAAAGCCAACTAATTAATTCTATGATATGTATCTGTCCAGATACTCATATTCGACCCTTACGACTTTCCGGATGTGACCAGCGGAGGTGTAATGGAAATACTTGCGATACCGCGCAGCGAGACTTACGTGGACGTAGTCGCGTCGTCCTTCTTTAGCACTAAGGCTATCGAGGGCTATCCAATAGCGAAACGCAAGTGCATCTTCTCCAAGGAGATACGAACGTTGTACGGTGGCACATCTTATACCTACAGCGACTGTATCGTCGACTGCAAGATACATGATATCCAGAAAATCTGTGGATGCAGACCGTTCATGTACCCGCGGCGTGGCAAACACGAATGTTGGTATTCGAGTTAAAATTACTTATTTCGACGAGATTCGCCCCAAGGGTATTCGCGCTACTTTCTCCCATTAACAATTGCGTTCCTCAGAAATTAAAACTCTCCTTCTCCTCATCTTCATCCCCCTTCCCCATCCTTTCTCTTTCTTTCTGGACGTAGTTCGTTCGCGTTATTAGAGTTTTCTTTCATCGAGAATTTCTGTCGCGCCCTTCAAAACGCTAAAAAGAATTTACTGTATAAATAAGGAGAAACGTGATATATTTAACGTTTTAACGGTTGTGGTTTTATAGCTTGCGACTCCTCATGGCTTTGAATTCCATTTCTTTTAGCTTCTAACTTACTCACGACAAGCTTCGCGAATAGAAAACTTAATCGCTCGATTCTGACACTTCCTTCTCTCGAAAGTTTAAATTACAATTCGTGAGTAAAGTTTCGGAGTTACCCACTGGGAAAACATCATTCGTACACAAATAGGCAAAGATATCGCTTTCAGTTATTAAAAGCATGAAGTGTCCCTTTTCGCATCTACGTTTTCTCGACAGATTTTGAGACCGGATGTCTTTAAAATAAATAAATAAATAAATAAATATATTAAAAAAAATAAAAGAAGCGTATCAGTCGTAGGCAATATGAAGTTGCGAGTGATCAAACGTCTCGTGATTAACGCAGACCCTCAGATGTAAGTGATTAACGAACGTGAGGACATCCGAACGAACGGGGACGCATAAAATCCGGCGTATTCATTACGCTTTTGATCTTGCGTTTACGACTCGGCGGCTCCGCTAAATTCACCCGATGTCCGCACAGACATCGCAAGAGTGTAAAAAACACAGTACGCGGCGATGACGGAACAGATCTCGTTAACGAAGACGAGCACGGGCTCGAGCGAAACGATCGCGAGCAATACTTCATTCATTTATCTATCGCGCGGCTGAAAGCTCCGACGAAACGGCTTTCTCGATACTAACTCGATCGAGCCCCCGTCCGACGAATCGCACTTCCGAGCGAGAACGAGTTTCGATGTTAATAGAACGGGCGGTAACGTCGAGGAGAACTCGTAAACTCGACGCTCGCAGAACTCGCGGCTTCCATAGGAAGCCGCGCCGCAGTCTATCGGGGCTGACGATTCGGCAATATTGCCGGCAATCTTCTCTCGCTGCGAATCGCGTTGCTTCTTCCCCGCTTTTGTTTCCCCACTCGGGCTCCCTTTATTCGATTTTGGCACCTTTTGCTTTCGCGATGCTCTGGCGCGGAGGGGAAATTGTTCAAAGGGTAACGCCGTGTCGTTCACCGCGGGAACTCGTTACTTAAACGCGAATGTGAGTTACGGAATTCGATTAAGACGGAAACGTGGTTGGCCCACGTGGACCACTGTTACGTGAGGAGATGGCAAAAAGTCGGCTTGAGAGCTTGCAAAGCTCTTGGCTTAGCCGATAGCGCAATTCTCTATTCCCGTCCGTCAATAATCGCGAAATCAATGAACGGGGAGACACGAGAAATCAATCTGTGCGAGGATCCGACGCGATAACGTCATCCGCAACGTATCTTCTAAAGCTAAAAAGATTTCTCTCCAATCCCCCACGTTCTTTTCGCATTTACTCGTATTCACTTCGAGAGATATTGTCTTTCTTTTTTCTCGTCACAAGGATCAACGAGAAAGGGAAGCCTGCGCTAATAATCATCGAATCGACCGAGCGCTCTCTATCAAAGTAGCTAGTTCTAAGAGAATATATTTATTTAAGAATTCGTCGCGAAAATCGTAATTATAAATTGACGCCTGTATTAATAGTTGTCACTTGTCTCGAGTGAGATGCTCAGATTTGAATTTTGAGTTAAATTTTTCAAATTTGAGTTTCAAGTTGGATATGAATTTTTCAGTGGATCGCGAATTTAACGTCACATCATGTGATTCAATTGAAAAACTTAGATCTAACATTCAAAACTAAGTATTTCATGCGAGACAAACTTCAAATAACGACTATTAATACAGGCCTAAACGACATGGGCGAATTTCAAGACAGCGTGTAGTAACATCTGCGATTCGACACTGCATCTGCCTTTTTTAATCAATCAGAAATATCACCGGGGGATGCTACGAGTTCAATTCAAACGGGCGACACGGGTACGACCGTATCTCATTGGACAAATCGGGTTTCCTCAGATCCGCGTAACCTCCTACATCTCGGGCGATTTCTTTCCTCTATCACGAAGTCGAGAGGCGTGGGCGGCAATCTGTAAAGGAACGCCGACCGCTCGCCGCATTGCGAAGCGTACGTTCGCGAGCTTTCTAACGAGGCTTTACCACGGGTGGCTTAAAGCATTAAAGCGGATCGCGCGAAGCACCTACTGTGTAGGATTAACTTACCGTGGCCGAGGCCAGGTAAAGGAGAGGAACGCGTTGAAAGCGGAACGCCGAGTTTCCCCCCTTTCCCCTCCTTCGCCCCTTTCGCCCCGTGTGTCTCTCACTCTCGCCATTTCTCCCTCGCACCCTTTCTCTGTTCTTTCCGTTTTAAAGCCGTCCCCCGATTGCTCTTTTTCTCGTGCTCCATCGATAGCACAGGGCGTGCTTGGACTCGTTTTTCTCGCAGCTGCCTCCTCCGTTCTCCATATTAATCAACAACACGTGCAACGACGCGCACCACCATCCGACGTATCCCGGCGTCCTTCTCGCCTTCATACGCCGGCTCGAAGTGCGCATTTTTTCCCTCGCGAACTTTCGGAGTGCGCGATATTCTGTTTGCCTGCTGCTATTTGACGGGGTACGGTTGAATTCGGACGATGACGTAACTTTCCCGCGCCCATGGCGGAGTTGTGAGGGGTGCGCGAGAGGTGTACAGCAAAAGACGAAATTACGACGGACGATACGCAGCGCTCGGGGATTTTCGGCAATGTGTGCGATTGCAGATTTGCAATCATCCTCGACGTGATCGACGATGATTGCAAGTTTTGTATCACGATCTTGGAGAAACTCATGTGGGAAGAACGATCGAGATAAAATATAATAATCTAAATATAGTAATATAATTATCCATGATTAGGATGGATCGGCTAAATATCGCGTAATCATTTGAAAAATATCGCGACATGGAACGAAAGGCACGTTTTGTTGTGAGAGTTGGTTAATTTCGCGAAACTCTGATTTTTCTACATATTAATCTCGTAAATATTCTTTATTCGTTAGATTTACGTTGCAAAATTAAGGTGACCAGACGTCCCAAATTTTTTCGAGTGCTATTCGGGACACCGATTTGTCATCATTTTCAATGACCGTCAAATAATTTTTCGATCTTTTTACCCCTCTCCTCCCGCTTCACATATTTATGAAGTGTCCCGAATTCAGGGTTGGGAAATCTGGTCATCTTACATATACCACGAAGAGAAACGAGAAGATTACTTACAAATGACGTCTTCACGATACGCCCCGGCGATCGCACATCGCTATTCTCGACACTCCCGAGACTTATGAACGCGCGAGACGCACTTTCGACGGATAAAAACGCGAGAAACGCGGAGCGATGTGGATCGATGTGTGCCCATGGTTGCTGCTTGGCGCGAAAAGATCGAGCATTTCGCGCGATTTATTACCAACGCCTAGATTGAATAATCACGATGACAACCTCGTAGTGCGAAACAAACGCGATTGGTTAAGGCGTTCGCCATAGATCGTGTCGTTGTAGACGCGCGACCTCGTTCGCATCATTGGCGCGTTCACATTCACGCACTTTTGGCACTTTCGGCGCGCTAATGAACTTTTGGTGTACGTAATTGACAGCGCGCGCGTCTGCGATTTTTTCATGCCGAGCAACTGCCACGAACACAACGCTCCGTATTCTATACGTCTTTCGTTTGTGTTCTATGAGTATCCTGCGGAAGTAAATATTAGAGTGCCGAAAACAATGACGTGCGATTGTTAGAACATATCATAAATACATTATTACGGAATAATCTCCTCCCTTCTCGACACATACAGCTAAGGTGATCGTCCTGATTTTTCACCCTTTGTCCCGAATTTTTTCGAGTGCTATTCGGAACACCGATTTGTCATTATTTTCATTGATTGTCAAATAATTTTCGGATCTTTTTACTCCTCTCCCCCCGCTTCACATATTTATGAAATGTCCCGAATTCAGGGCTGGGAAATCTGGTCACCTTATGCGAAATGTGCAGGAGACTCGCGCATAATGCATATCTTAACTAAATTTTATATGTCACACGTGATATATATGTATTTTGTTGTGTAATCTAGATACATTCCGTATATGCAATAACATGGATATGGAATGCTTGGCGAAGTACAAAAGTAAGTACACGTTGATACACTAGAGTTTTAAATAACGACTTATTTCCTCTCATCTAAAGTGCTTTTTTCAAAACTGTAATTACTTGCACAATTAGGAAAGTTCTCTTTAAAAGTAACTCGTTATCGTTGCTTATTTAAAGAAAGATAAGCCGACGTTTCCGTTAGTCAAGAAATAACAAGTTAATTTCATTTGTTATTGAGAAAAAAATGTAATCTGTAACAATAAAGTGAAACCAATATTTGAAAATTTATTTGTTGAGAGGATATATAACTTATTTGCCACAATAAAACTTATAAAATTTATTTTATAGAAATAAACTTTATATATTCCACAAATAAATTGTCAAACATTTTTTCTTGTTGTAGATTTTCTTAGAGTAGTGTAGGTAACGTTAAAGTAGAAGTAAATTCTACTATTCTATATTTAAATACTCGGACACGTATCTAATCCTGAATATTCTTATTATTTTGGTCTTTATATATAAATACAAACATTTAGATTTTCAATGTATAAAAAAATATACACTAAGGGAAAAATTACCTTAAAATCAACAAATATTTCTTTGAGGGGTGCCATTAACATATTTATTTATATAAATCTAGATTCTCTTTATTTAAACCAAATATTGTTTACTTAAATCAGGTAAACAATATTTGATTTAAATACAGAGAATTTAGATTTAAGTAAATATGTTAATGGCACCCATCAAAGAAATATTTGTTGATCTTAAGGTAATTTTTCTTATATATGTATATACATATATTGAGAATATGTACATATGTTCTTTCTATATTGAAAATTTAAATATTTGTATCAAAAGATCAACACAATAACAATATCTAAGATTAGGTACGTGTTAAAAAATTGACACTTTTACCTTATTTTATGATACTGTGTGTGTTTTCAATTGCTTCATTACAATCATTAATCATTATTCCAATCATTAGTTACATAATTGATACTCGGTGTGTGTTAACTTTCGATTTCTTTTTTCGCGGCGTTAGCTAAATGGTGGATCGTTTTTCCTCACGAGGACAAGAACGACGAAGAAAACATCCCAAACAATACCTGGGGCCTGCACTGTAACAATTGCTATCCCGTTTGCGAGGATATCTCGTATGATGTGTTGAGCGCAAAGAGTTATATGTCTCAAGGCCGATACAAGACCGACTTTTTGTAAGCATGTTATAGATATTATTTTGAATGCGAAATCTATTCTCGAGCATGAAAATTTCTAAGATTTGAATTGTTCAATCAAATTTCAGATGGAATGTCACCGTTAAGGACCAGGCGATATTGCACGTATTTTTCTCGAAATACGGCTCGCTCAGATTGAAACAGGATGTAGCTTATTACTGGTATGAACTCATGAGTAAGTATGTATTGATAAGAAATTCGATTTCAAGGGATTCTCGACGATATTATAAATTTAAATTTTCTAATTTTAACCATAAATTCAAATATTCTGTCGCGCGAAGTAAATTTTGATAATTATATTTGTAAGGGGGAGGAATGTAGTAAAATTTAATTTAGTAACTTGAATGCAAGACTGGTAATTTAGTGGAAGGAGATTTCTCATTCTATTCACATTCCTTCTGTGAGAATCTTATAATTATGTGTTTAATAATTTTATCCGGCTTTGTATAATAGATTCCAAGTAATTAAATTAAATTCCTAACTATAGCATTTCGCATCGAAATTTTGACTTTACATTCATCCTGCAAATCCCGTCGAACTTGTAGGATCAATGAAAATCTCGAGATATAACATTGAGATATTGTTTCACTTAATCTTAGTAACTACTTGTTCTATTTAGCTTTATTACTGTACTGAATCAAAATCCAAGCCTCCATCAGTACACAGTATTGCTATATACAATCGCTATTTTTACACCTACAGATTTTTCATTTTTGTTGTCTTTGAATCCTCTACTGAGATTACTAATGATAAAAAACAATAACAGAGAAATTATTAATCTGTTATTTTACTCGTTATTATTTATCTTATTATTTATCTATATTAATGATATAATATTTGCTCATGCCACACACTCTATTTGCGATTAAGTAAATTATATGTTAAACACATCGTTTATTAAAGTTAAGAATAAAAATGTAAGTAGAATATTGAAATAATCAAATATCAAATAATTCTGTAAAAAATAAGTTTTCTAAACTTTGACATGGAGAAAACAATAGCAAGTAATCGTTTGTAACACTTTAAAGAGAAAAATAATATTCTTGTAGTGTCATCGAGATTCTCCGATCTATTAAGTTTGACGGAATTCGCAGGTTTGCGAAAAATATTATATTAGCGTTTGAAGATCATTACTCGTATCGATTACAATCAAACGGATGTCTCAACGTGAAATTACATCCTTAAGAAGAAAGAAATCAGATTGGGACTTCTGATATTACAATTCTTAATTAAACGCGCGTATATCGCAGAAAAAGAATTCCGAGGTAAATTATGATCGCTATAAAAAAAAGCTGTCGTGTGTTCGCGGTGCAAAGTAGCAGTGGAAAAACACCCTTTTTACAGTTGACACAAAATATACGAAAAGAAGCGTCTTTATGGGCAAGAGCGAAGTAGGCGAAGGGAATTTTCCGTCCGCACTTCTCGCGGCATGCCCGAGGGTTCTCAAAAATGGAATTTTAATATCCGACTGCGTGAAACGTTTCTGCACTTTAGCTAGTTTTCGCGTGCAAAAAAATGATAATACTTTTTTTTACCTCGCGTAGAACGCAATTTCTAGTCGTTGGCGCTCACTTTGCGGGCAAATTGCTGAAAAGAGAGTTACACTCTCCACGAATTTTTGTAAGAGATTTATTGGACGTTCGATTATTCTTGGTGTTTGATAAAATAAAAAAAATATTAAAAAGAAAAAAAACATATAATACAGGTTTAAATGATATACATGTGTATGAAGGAAATTGTGCTATCGATTTTAAATTAAATTGAATTTCTTTTATATCGTTTATATTTTTGAAAATTACTAATTTAAAAAAAGTCCTGGAAATTAATATATTCGTGTTTGAATTTTCGAATCGCGAATTTCCGTATTTTTTACATTCTGGATATTGACAAATGCATATATTCAGTAGTTTATACAAATTAGAAAAATCGGAAAAACGTAATGGTAATGCTTAAAACGGGTAGCAGATAGTCTTTCACACTTTGACGCGAATTCCAACGTTACCGTAAATTCTATGTGTATTCGATCCCGCTACATAGCGGGACGTTATTGCCTTGCCGCGTTAGCCGACTGACCCATAATTACTGACACGTAATAATTCTGTATTTGTCCGCAGTTGACGAAAAAGTTATCCGTATAAATGCGAATGCGCGCGAGTTTGTATTAACGGGAAAACGTAAATTTCTACCCTTATCCTCGTCGTTGTAAAAACTCGAACCGGCTATAAAAAGGAAGCGCGCGTCGTTCTATCCGACTTGGCAGAGCATTGATTAAAGAGCGGTGAGCTTGTAAAGAGGCAAAGGAGTGGAGGGGGGCGATGGTATCATGGAAAATCCGCTATCGCTTTCGCAGCGCGAATCACCGTCTAGTCCTTTAAGAGCGGCGTTAAAAAACGCGCGGCCATTTCGTCGGATCGTCCTTATCCTGGCGCGCTATCGAAACGTCGCGCCGTAAAGGTTGGTCGTTTTGCAGGCGATATCGGCAGTATATGCGGCGTCTTCATCGGCTTCAGCCTCATCAGCGTCGTGGAGCTTCTGTACTTCTTCACGCTCATCTTTCGCGAGATGCTCTGCAAAAGATGGGTAATAGAGGACGAGAGCCGCAAGAAAGAGATCCAAAGCCAGCCGATACGTACGATTTATTGGAACGAATTATTGCCACGATCCTGGCAGGCGGCGCCTTATTACGGTCATTTACAAAAAACTATAAAAAAGAGGACTCGGTACTAATTGAACTGACGGTTCATCCCCTACGTTCGATTGAATGCTTATTTGCCGTTTATGGAGGTTCGTTTACAGTACGCGAAGTGAGTGAGTGAGTGAGTGAGTGAGTGAGTGAGTGAGTGAGTGAGTGAGAGAGAGAGAGAGAGAGAGAGAGTCGAGTAAGAAATAAAAATAGTTTATTCCATCTTCCCTATACTCTAGCTCCCTTGCATTGAAAGTATTTCACTCACTTGAAAGGAATACTTCTGATGGAAAGGATTACTTTTGAAGGAACAGTGTAGACGAGCCTTAAAACGAGTTGTTTTCATTCCACGTGTGATCTCGACGTAGTCAGCCGAAGAATATCGCTTGAACTAAACACGGAAATTTCACCTCTAATTAATGAATCGCGTCGCACGATAATCATAACATTCGGATTATAGGTTATTTACCGATTTTCACTCGACGCCTATGCCCATTTGCATTCATATAATGCAAATTAAACACGTACCCTAATGTATCGTATTATTTACACAAATACGCTCGTGAAATGTATGCAAATACGAAATAATCCAACCGCGGTAATCAAGATGAGATCAGAGTTTTGGTAAAGCATATTACGCGACAATACGTGTAATATTTATAATAAATAATAACACATGGATTACGCAAATGCAACGTCAATATATATCGAAGCCTTTGTCTCTTGTCGGAGTGCCATGCTACATCACTGAGTTTCGTTCGCGCTTCTACAATGGACAACAATGGGGAGCTCAAGCCCCCTGGAAAATTAGTTTTGAGCATTACCGAGAGGATAAAGCATAAAAGATCCGGTCTCATTGTCAGTCGTCGTAGTGGCGCCGAATAATGCCACGTCGGAAAATCCAGTATCAACAATATATGTTGGAAAGCGTGAGCCAAGAAAGACCGCGGTAATCATATTGTGCACCTCGAGCCGAAATTTTCGTTTCACATTTACTCTGCGAATTCCGTCGTGCTTGAGCAAGGAGCAACAGAGAATCTTGAGATTAACGCGTCTGCTACCACGTTTTATTTAGGGAATTCTCTTCACAGACCACATTACATTTGTTTTCGTGTATTTGCGTGAAACAGACTTGGTTCTGTTCACATGTGGATACACAAAGAGAAACGTCGTTGTCACGTGACATTGATGATGAACATTTTAAATAAAATTTTAAGCAAAAATAAGCTCGAAGTGAGAATTCAATGCGTCATATATGTATAACACCGGTAAACATTATACATGGAAAATACACGGAAAAAATCTCAACTCGTGCAACTGCATGTGGACTAGGTGGGAAATTCGCTAACGAGAAATAATATCTACGCTATTGCGACCGAAGACATTTGTCTGAACATTCAGCTGTACGAAAACTCGGTTAACATAACTGAAAATAATTGTCTAAGTAGTAAAAACCTACTACAGAAATCTTATTGTTCCCACAACCGAGTTTTTCATTTGGTTTACAAAAAATTCAATTACACTGACGGACTTGTTTTTTCTGTTTTTGTTTATTTTTATTGTTTAGCGACTTTCACAGTGTCACAGTGTCACAGTGTCTTCAGCTCCCTCCGCAAAATAAAACGACTCTATGACGCACTGTTTCTACTTTTCTGAGCATGTTAATCCTCTTTAACTTTTATCTGTCCTAAATCTCTCTCTTCCAATATCAGACGAATGATATACAAATTGAAAACATTTAGAGAAAACAAGATTAAAATTTAATCGCTCAACATGGCAACTTTTAAACGACTTTTCTTTTCCGTATAGTTATAGATTACTTCCTCCTTCCCCTCCCTAAAACCCTTTTCTCCATGTCAAGGCGAAAGACTTATGTTAGTATCATTAAATATTCGACTGTCTCAGTCTGATCTGTTACAATCAGAGATCTGCTGCATAATAAATGATTTTACATACCTGGAAATATACGATGTGTCGTTATCCGCGTCTCGGTGTCCTGCGTCATACATTTCTGCATCCTACATCCTAGCTTTCCATCCGGCTTTCCCGGCTGCTCCGTCGTGGCACTCCATATCTTCCCCACGACTTTGACACCAATCCTGACGTTCGTGTAGATCTGATTCGAAAAGAGAAACGTATTATATTCGTGAACGTCATGCCAACGAGACTACTTCGCGCGGGACAAACACCGGAAGTAAATATCTAAACGAGAAAATAGTTGTTGCACTCGAGTAGTACAGTACGTGCTGAAAACATGCGTAAATTTAATCGCCAACATAACAGCTTCTAAATGACTTTTCCGTGTAATTGTAGATTACTTCCCTCATGCTATACAGTGATCACTTAAAATCCTTTCCTTTATATCGAGGCGAAAGATATATGTCAGAATCAATATTTGACTGTCTAAAATAAATTATTTCACACACTTGAAAATATACGATGTGTCGTTACCCGCGTTAGACATCTCGGTGTTCTCCATCCTCGCTTCCCAACGCAGTATCCCAGCTCCTGGCTGCTCCGTCGCGGCATTCCGTATCTTCCCCACGACTTTGACACCAGTCCTAACGTTCGTGTAGATCTGATTCGAAAAGAGAAACGTATTATATTAGCGATGCCGACGAGACTACTTTGCGTGGGACAAACACCGGAAGTAAATATCTAAACGAGAAAATGGCCGTTGCATTCGAGTAGTATAGTACGTGGTGAAAACATGCGTAAATTTAATCACCAACATAACAGCTTCTAAATAACTTCTACGTGTACTTCCTTCTCTTTCATGCTATACAGTCACTTAAAACCCTTTCCTTCATGTCAAAGCGAAAGACATGTGTCAGAATCATTAAATATATTTGACTGTCTAAAATAAATTATTTCACGCACCTGAAAATATACGATGTGTCGTTACTCGCGTCAGACGTCTCGGTGTTCTCCATCCTCGCTTCCCAACCCAGCTCCTGGCTGCTTCGTCGCGGCACTCCGTATCTTCCCCACGACTTTGACACCAGTCCTGACGTTCGTGTAGATCTGATTCGAAAAGAGAAACGTATTATATTCGCGATGCCGACGAGACTACTTTGCGCGGGACAAACACCGGAAATAAATATCTAAACGAGAAAATGGTCGTTGCATTCGAGTAGTATAGTACGTGGTGAAAACATGTGTAAATTTAATCACCAACAGCTTTTCAATGTGAATTCTATGTGTACTTCTATGTGCACTTCCCTCTCTTTCATGCTATACAGTGGTCACTTAAAACCCTTTCCTTCATGTCAAAGTGAAAGACATGTGTCAGAATCATTAAATATATTTGACTGTCTAAAATAAATTATTTCACGCATCTTAAAATATACGATGTGTCGTTACTTGCGTTAGACGTCTCGGTGTTCTCCATCCTCGCTTCCCAACGCAACATCCCAGCTCCTGGCTGCTCCGTCGCGGCACTCCGTATCGGCACTCCGTATCCCCATGACTTTGATGCCAATCTTGACGCCCGTGTAAATCCGATTCGAACGGAGGAACGTACTACGTCGACGAATGTGATGTCGACGAGACTACTTCGCGCGGGACAAGCACCGGAAGTAAATATCTAAACGACAACATGGACGTTGCACTCAAGTTCCACTTAAGCTACACTTTGCTGCTCTCATATAGAATTATTATGTAGTTTATATTGATCCTCCATTATTAATGTATCGTATCGATATATTGCGCTGAACGTAGTTCCACTTCCTACTGTATCAGGTGAAGTCGCGACGTGCTTGATGTAGGAAATATTTGAATTATTCGATACGCGCACTTTGCATTGTTCAGCGGATCGAGATATGAAGTAAAACTCGTTTGTGGAGTAATTGAGCGACGCCCGAGTGGAGCAAAACAATCAGCGATAAAGGCAAGGTCGCGCGTGTTAATCGTCAACCGTCGCTCTCCGACAACAAACGTCGCGGCGGAAAGGTAAGAATAATCGAGGAGTCTTAAGACATTCTAGACTCTCAAGACGGCCGAAGATATCAAAACGATACTTGTGAGTAACATATTCTGTTCCGCAAACGTGGATTATGTATTGAGTCGACGAGTGATAAACTGATCGCGTCGTGGCGTGCGCGTATCGTTTTGTAGGTTAGGTTCCCGTCTCCCGCAATTCCGCGACTATGAGTGCGTTCAGCGAACTCAACAGTTGCACAACAGTTGAGCAATTCGTCAATGTAATTGGTCTAAAGTTAGAGATCTAACAGTAAGGACCAATAATCACTGATCGCTCACTGATCAGCTATGTTTTGTGAACGCACCCTATTCCGCGGCTTCTTGAGACATTTCATCGAACTCTTGTCACGATATCGCCTTAGTTAAGACGTGTTAATTAAACTTAACCTAATCTTGCAGCTGATTAAATCGTATTTACGCGAGTGTCAGTGCCACATATTGAATATCTGGGGCGCTACGACGCAGTAGCTGGAAACCAGGATGCAGGAAGCAGAACACCGCGACAGGAATACATCATGTACTTGCAGTATGATGCGTCAATTGCTTATTATGCAGGATCTATTGAAATTAAGATGTTTGACGATCAAGGATAGCTAGGTAAACGAATAAAAATGTAGACTGATGTTCATAGTTAATCGTTTGATAAATAATCATAACTTCATCAATCTATGATTATTTATCAATCTGTACGTGTATATGTTTCATACAATGAGAAACATTGATCCAAATAGCTGAATAACTGTGAATACAATTAATACAAGTCTGTACTGAATTATGCTCTCAATCAAAGATAGTAAGTAAGTTACAGCTGTAAATATCGGTCTTAGAATGTGATATAAATTTGGTAAATGTTGAATTGTGTATTTAATGAGACTTGATTTTCTGAAAAATCGTTTCCTGAAAGATTACATGCTGCAGTGCTGTTGTGTTGAAAGTGATATTGTTGGACGATAAGATGTTATTAATGAGGGAAGTACTAAACAATGAGGTAGCAGTCGTTCAGGAGAGTATAGGGAAGAGGGGGGAGGAGAAAGGATTGTAGTATTCTTGTCGTAAAAGCATGAATAGAATGATAGATACACGAACGCGCGTGGAAATTATTATTCGCACCGATGCCGCTCGCTAGAGACACGTAATTAATTTCCGCGTACAATTATGGTCTTCTTCACGTAATAGAAATACTTACGCAAGTTTATGCTAGAAACGACGTTTCTCTCGAGCGAATGACACATTTGTCAAAATGTTTATGTTGAAATGACTTATGAACGATTGGTCGCGGCCCGATTGACTTCACAAATGTGTAATCAAATTTTGCAATCGGTATTGCGCGACTCGATATTACGGTAAATAGATTCGATCGTTTGCAAATATATTTGCTAGTACTCTCCTGCTAGTACGATCCTGCAAACGTACGTGCACGTTGATCGTGCTTTACACGGAAATAAATTGGATGTTTCATCGTATGTCAAACCTAATTATACACAATGTCGATTTAATGGGGGAAAAATTATTTAGGAACTAAAAAATATTTATTCAATGGTGTTAATATACATATTTTTACATTAAAGAAAAATTCTTTTCTCTAAATGTAAATTCTTTTATTTAAATAAAATAAGTAATTATTTTCATGAAAAGCTAAATTCTTAAGAAAATGTATATTATTTCGAAAAATCAATTTCCACGTGAGCTTCATCGATAATAATACACTCTAATTATTGGTCGACTCATAAGAATCACTCGAATTATATTACGATTATAATTCGATTATAATACGTTGTGCTTTTGTGAGACAGGTCAGGGTTCCCGAGGACAGGATCGACAGAAATTATTATCAACGGGACAAGTATTAAACGTTTCGTGGTGCCGATGTCGTCAGCAACGAGTCGAACGACGACGTGACGACCAAGAACGCGCGGAGTGAACGGGCGAAGAAAAATGCGGTTATCATGGCTGCAGAGGGGTAATAATCTTCCACGGTATCATCGCCGCCTATATGTGTATCCACGGGTAACGTATGTCATGTACAAGAGGAGTCAGATTCCGCACGAAGGAAAGATTTATTAACGAGAACTACAACGCGGGACGCTGATAAATTATCGATAAAAAAGGAACTACGCGTGACTCGGATGTCTTCGTGACAACCCTTTCATTCTTCCTGATCCACCGTTATTATGGGTTCTCCACTTCAGAATAAACACGCGACTTTGCGGTGAAACGCGTATTAACACGGTCAACATGGTCAATAATAACATGGTTAATAGCATTATCGACAGCGTACCGTGCGATTAATTTGTATCTATTTTTCATTGTTTCTGGTGTTTCTATCGCAGCTTAATGTTAAATTGTTCACTATTCAATGTTTGTACGTAGATTTGCCCGTGAAATTTATTTTTGGACGTTTTATTTTGTCAGTTTTAGATAGCAATTTTGACAAGGCATTTAAAAAAAAAGTAAACAGAAATATATATATATATATATATAAATATATATATAAATATATATATATATATATATATATATATAAATACTAAACATTCAGCCATGTGGCATGCCATTCCCATGAACCGTATCACAACGTAATATGTGCAACACAGAGCATGTGGAACATTTAAAGATTTTGCGCAACATAGTTTGAAAATTTATTTAAATAAAATTTTATTTTTGAAAAAAAACCGGACAGAGTTGTATTTTTATTCTGAATTTTATACGATCAAATACATAGTTTCTCTTGAAAATTATGAAATATTTCGCAATATATTTGTCGCGAACAGGACATAAATGGAAAAATGAAAAAAAATAGGGTAGTCCATTGAAATTTATTTTCTTTTCGCAGTCTATATTATATTATACCGTTCACTTGGAAAAAATGTCAATCAGCCAACCTTTGCAAAGACTCGCGCAAGTAGGTAGATATAAAAAAAAGAACAATATTTTTCGTATAGAGAACGATTTTCTCTATCCTTTTCTTATAAATCTTTAATTAAATACATTTAACTAATTACATAATTCCTTTTTTACACCTCAATCAATTTATTCCCGATGTAAAACACGTCTCATTAAATCGAGTAAATACGCTTCCGTTGTTTTATCGGTGCGTATAAAAATTACTTAGTAAAAATCTGTTGACGTTTGACCACTCGTCGAAAAAAACCAACGTAGCCTTGACATTTTTCCCAAGAAAAAATCAATTCCGAATTAATTAAAAACCTTTAATGGCATGATGTCAACATCAGCCTGTACGCTCAATCCCGCGGATGTTTTACTCTCGATAGATGCTATACGCTGGAGAGTTACTACAATTTTTCACTCTGCCACATCTAGCCATGCATATTTCTCATGATTGTTGATTAATCCATAAAGCGAAAACACGTTTTCTAATTAATTAATAATAACGAGAAACGCGTAGCTGGATAGTCGAAAATGTTTAGTGATTATCGACCTATCGAATGGTAAGGTGATATCGATTTATCGAATTGGTGGAATTAAACGTACAGAGGGCATTGTTGTGGGATCGCGTCGACATCAATTACGCGACTATCTTCGTTCTTTTTACGTCGAGTAGCCGCCATCGACACATCGATCGACGTCACTCCGCGTCTTGCGCGTCTTTTGTCTGTCGAAAGTGAGTCTCGCGCGAAAATAAGTATCGAGAGTGTCGAAATAGCGATGCGTGACCATCAGGACGTATCGCAGGTACGTTATTAATTAGGGAGTAATCTTATTGTCGGTGTATTGCAGCCGCTGCTTGTCGCGATGCGTGTCGAGTCGACGTCTCTTACGTTTGCAAGTATCTTCGTCTCATTCAAGTAGTAATAGAATCGAATAACCGTCGGGTTTCTTAATCGGGGATTAGAAATGCGCTGTGATAATCAGAGGGAAAGAGAAAAAGACGACACCAGAGATATATTCGTGGCGTCAAATCTCGGGAAATAGTGTCGATCTGTTAGCGGGGGGAGAGAGAGAGAGAAGGATAATAGCGCGCGTCGTGTTGTAGAAGAGCGACACCGTTCACCCCGCGGCGCGTGTAATCAATTGCGCGCCATCTTGTGTATCGATCTTTCCGCATTGAGCAGCCGTCCTTGACACATTGATCGACACAAACGCTCCGCGTTTTCCGCGTCTGTTGTCCGTTGAAAGTGAGTCTCGCACAGAAATACGTCTCGGAAGTGCCAGCATAGCGACGTGTGATCGTCGGAACGTATCGTAAGTACGTTATTAACGTTATTAACGAGTAATCTCCAGAGATATAACCAGTGCTTGTCGCGACGTATCGGGTCGGCGTCTTACACTTGTAATTACCATTGTTTCATTCAAGTAGCAATAGAATCGGATGATTATCGGATTTATCAGTCGGGAATTAGAAATCCAGTGATAATACCAGGGGAAAAGAAAAAGATAAAATGACACCAGGGCTATACGCAGCGTTGCGTTTCGGGCAGTACCGTCAGTTTGTTAGTGAGAGAGAGGGATGTATAGAGCGCGTCTTTATCGGATCGCGACACTATTCACATCATGACGTACATTTACGATGCACGTAGTCAATTACGCGACCATCTTGGAAGTCGATCTTTTTGAATCGAGCAACCGCCGTTTACATATTGATCGATATCGCTCCGCTATATCGTTTTTCGCGTCCGTTGTCCGTTGAAAGTTAGTCTCACGCTAAGTATCGGGAGTGGCGAAATAGCGATATGCGATCATTGGGCTGTAAGTACGTAATTAATGAATAATCTCCTCTCTACTCGGTATATAATCGAATCAATAGCCGGTGCTTATCGCAACGTATCGAATCTCTTACATTTGCAAGTACCACTGACTCACTCAGGTAGCAATAGAATCGGACAGTTGTCAGATTTCTTAATCGGGAATTAAAAACATAGTGGAAATCAGAGAGATGGCTAGATAATATGATGATAGAGATGTATACGACGTCTTGATAGTGTCGTTCTGTTAAAGAGTGAAGAATATATACGTCGTACTTATAATCGCGTCTCAAATTTAATAACTTGAAAATTCGTAATACTATCATGTTTGCCTCAAAAAGCAAGATGCTACTCTTGGATATCTATTTTCTCAGATTGAAATAATCTTTATTTGCCTTCACGATATTAGTGAGCGAGAGAGAGAGAGAGAGAGAGGGGGCGAGGGGAGGGAGAGATACAGCTAATATAGTCCTTTATCTATACTATCGATGATATACCTTTATCTATATACTATCGATGAGTCGAATTAAATTGTTTTTGATAAAATTCATAAAATCATGTTTGTTTAAAAAAAAAAACAAAATGCTAATCTTAGATTTTTTATTTGTTCAGACTGGGATAATCTTCAATGATCTTCACGATATCAGCGAGAGAGAGAGAGAGAGAGAGAGAGAGAGAGAGAGAGAGAGAGAGAGAGAGAGAGAGAGAG